ATATGATAATATATTGATTAAAAACTCTTTTGATTTATTTATGGTAATAATTGTTATTATTGGTTCAAAATTGTTATGTCACAATTTTGATAAGCCATATTATAATTGTTTTAGCGAAAATGATCGTGGAGATTACATATAACCATATTCCATTAATATATAAGGGATGTTACGTCGGGCATGAGCTGCACTACCCAACGAGAATATTCGATATATAATTGGCTCGGTAGTCGCTACCAACAGCCCAATAAAATACAACACAAGAACAAATATATACAGTATAAATTTCATTAGGATATGAAATTTGCCGACAAAAACAAAATATATATTCTGATGAAACGCATAAAACCATAGTGATTATAAGAACATAAAAAAACTAGAGTAAGAGTAACATTTGCCTAAGATTTTTTATGAAATTTTTGAACTGTTTCTATAAAATTGTATAAGGTCATGCATTAACTTTTAAAATCATAGTTAAATAATTGGAATATGTGAGAATCTATAGTTTCCTTATTTGGTTGTACAAAATCCAATGCTTATTTCTTACCGTTTTGTAATATAAAAGGAATATTTTCATTTTTCTTCCCTCCTAATATTCTTTAGGAACTTATACCTTGCTTGCCTGTACAAAATCTGATATTTTTAGTATTTTGTAAAGCAAAAAGATATTTAGTTTATTTCTTTTCCAAAAACATTCCTGGGAAATATTTTCTAGGGGTTATTGCTTGCCAGTACGAAAAACTAATACATTTTTTATTATTTTTGGGAAAAAAAAAAGACGAACATTTATTGGCAAACATTTTCTGGTTTTGCAATGCCATTTTTCGCAAGACATTACAATACAAGCTAATATGTGTGCAGAGCACGTGACAAGTTGCGTTCCTCAACTTCTCATCCGTTTAATCTGAACCGTCCAATGTCAATCTATGGACCCCATTTATTCAAAAAAGCGAATCATCCAGCTGTTTCCCTCGAGCTTCACAGCTGGCACCGTCTTAATGGGTCAAGACAAGTTCCAAAACCTTATGGTACACCTTTCCGCAGAGGAACATAGCCACTCTTAAGTTCTTAAAACTCACCTAAAAGCTAAACCCTTTTAGTTAATACAGGTAATTAATGTTTAGGGAATTGCCCTTTGAAAAAAACTTTCCCTTAACGACTAAGCCTTATTGCCGTCTCACGCGCTTTCTTAATGGCGCGTGATTATCAAACTCCTCAAATAAGGAAAACAAAATCATGAGTATCCAAAGTAAAAGCATCTCTTTTATAACCAATCT